AAAAAGAAAATACTGTTTACCTCAAAATCAAGGCCTCCAGAAATATAATTGCAATGTGACCAGTAATGAATTGTTAAATAAAACATTATCTCAAAGTCACAACACTAACCAAAACTCAGACCTTTCATCATTCTAAGTTGTTGCTATCAATAGATTAGACCAAGATCTCCTCAGAGACTGAAGAAGATAAATCCGTACAACTAAGCCATAATAATACTTGTTACCACAACAACCAATACTTATTTGAGTGCTTATGATACGTCAGGTATTCTGCTAAGCATTTAACTTTTCATTTACTCTGGGGATCAACAGTAAAATATCCTGACAATTTCCTGGAACAAATGGGCTTCAAGGTGCAACTGAACCATAGACTTCTAACAATAAGAATATGTATAATAATTAGAGCAATTTTATTTATAGTGTGCCAGATACTTTACTGAGTGTTTTATATCTACAATCTCATTTAATCCTCACAGTTCCATCATGGGATAGCTGATAATTTTTAAGTATCAGAGTTGGGTTTTAAACCTAGGCCTTACTTCAAGTCAGTGTCTATAAATGTGATAGCATATTTACACACACAGTTTGCTATAAACTGCCTCCTCAAAATAGAAATGGGTAGCAACATTTCAGAGACTTCTACTTAGGGAAGTCCACACCCAACAGCATGGGAAGAGACAAAATCTTACTTCTTTCTCCCAAGTATTTGAGATCCATAAAATAAAAATTCAAAATTTGTGACAGCTTGTGAAAGAGAACCATATTTCATAAAGGCAATGAAGCAGTAAGTGTTCCTTTCTGTCTTTTTTTCCTTGTTCCTTACTGTAGATTAAATCCTTCATCCCTGTAGACCTTGGGTACAGTTATATGCCATTATGTGATATAAAAATATATTTTACTAAATAATGGCCATACTGAAAACCATGAGAGGATAAGATACCCTTGATCTAATGATGGGCAGGATGAACCAAACACCAATTGGTCCCACTAATGAGAGATAATTTCCTCCTGTTAAAAACATAAAAGTTATGATTTTGATCTGAAGCATAAGTTCTAATAGGCATTCACTCACCAGATATGATTATTGAATATGTACATGGCTCTGGAATTAAGGTCTTAGAGAAGGAAGACAAAGACCCTGATCTCAAGAACACTACAATTTCGTGAATCATAACTACATTTCCTTAAGTATGCATATTTAGAAAGAAACTCTTGGATTTTTCCCAGACTATAAGAGAACTTCTCTGAAAGCAGATGATTCAATCATACAAAATGTACTGAATCCAGTGTACTACTGGGGAGCCTCTCGACAATGGTAATTTTCAATAAAATAATTGGCGTGAAAGTGGTGCTGGGAGTTAGAGTTTCCTGTGGTGGAGGTGCTAATGCACCTGGATCATTAGAGACTGGGTCAGAGGAGGGTGGGCTGAAGTTCGCTTTCATTCGCTTTGTGCCTTCTTCATGCTCCCTTCCCCAGTTATTTTCCATAGCTTTAAGTATCCCTATTATTTTGACCAAATGTGCATTGTGATGGAAAGGATGTGATACTTTCAGCAGGATTACTTAATTAGGCTTTAGTAAGCAATGCCAGCCACATAGGGTAGGTTTGCTTTCCAGCAATAAAAATGTGCCTGCTCTGCACGCAGCTTTCCCGAGGAGTGAAACACAGTGACTGATGTGATGATAAAACAATGAAGGGAAGGATAAAGCCTGAGAGATAAAGTCTCAAAAGGGAAATAAAGTAGGGTAGCAGCTGCCCCCATCTTAATTGAAGCATAAATTTCAGGAACAGGATTTGAGGTTTAATTTCAAGCACATATTGCAAGAGAGTTTAGTGTGTCTCGTTTATGTGTGTACCCGTGTATGATAAAAAAAACACATAAGTTAAACTTTGTCATCCTCTTTATGAAGAGTTTTCAAAGCATTTATAAAAAAGGAAAAACATTGCAAATGTAGAAGTTTATTGATTGTCACCAAGAGACATTAATTTAGTCAGCATTTAATGAAGACTAACAGGATAAATAATGGGCAGGAACTGTTCTAGGCATGGGTGATGTAGCAGACTAGGAGCTATACAACATTTCTGCACTTACAACACTCAATGTTTTTAATCTTTTCTCTCTGTATGTACCTTCCCTGCCTCCACCTCCACCATATACCAGAATCATTTTCTTGCAGTATAGATTAGATTACATCACACTCCTATTTATAACACCATAGCTGTGCATGCAAAACATTCCAGTCCAGCCCCTCTCTCTATGTTCAACCTCTCTTGCCTTCCTACCTACTCCCAGTGTCAAGCTTACTGCTCCCCAAACATAACATTCTTATTTTCTGGAGAATCATATCATTAAACATATATGCTTTACTTTGTGAGTATGAACTATGAGGACCAGAGAGGGAAGGTTGCTAATTTGTCTCTGGCCACATATTGCTTTACATGTGGTTGACATTCACAAAATGTTTGGAGAGCAAATAAATATGAACCTGGAAAGTACATAAGATTCATATGAGATGTTTCATGATGGAATTAGCTACTTCACCATGTCCTCAAGATTTTCTTTTCAGAAGACCTCAGAATAAAAATCGTTACACAGGTGAGAGTGTCCATAGCTCTGTACAGAAGGTAAGGGACACTGCATGCCCAGGTGCTACTTGAATATTTTTTATGAACCACTTTGAAGACTGCATATCCCATTACATGGGCATGCTATTATCAGAACTGCTTTACAAAGTCTCACCATTTATATCCTGCCTTTATAGCTTAATATTGCTTCTGTGTACAAGCATATAGTTATGTAATCTTGTATGAGGCAAACCCTTCTTCAAAAATGCTTTAAGAAAGAAAAAATTGCTTTTAAACTAAAGAACAGTACAAATTTTTATGGCTTTGTTATAAACTTCAGAGAAACAGAATTGGGAAGCCTTGACACTCTTTAGTTTTATGGAGAAGCGAACACACATCACCATAAAATGTGCAGTTGCCATTCTTACAACAGAGCATAAATATGAATTTAAAACTAATATAAATGATAACTCTCTAATGTATAAGTTTTCTGTTCATTTTAAAAGAGTTAACATTTAACTGGTAAAATATATGAATTCAGTGTTAAATTTTTCATGTCCAGAGGCCCTTTCTAAATCATATGTTTTTATACAGAACAGTGGACTGTACTGTCTCTGCAGATCCTAATCAACAGAATTCACTTCAAAAGACTGTATGAAGTCACATTTCTTTATAATACTTGGATCAAAAGTAGTACTTGCATCCTTTGTCTATGTTGATGACTTACACAGCTCAGAAAGATAAAATATTCTAAAGAATAAAAATACTTATGTCACAAATAAAGGAGAGCTCTTCTTCTGTGACAAAATAACTGCTAACAATTATATTATCACATGATTATTTACCTTCAAAATAGATTTAATTTTTATCCTTCCCCTTTCTGTCTTTCTTTTTCTATCTAAGTCTAAAATTGGATTAACCTGAAATCCTAGTTTGTTGAACATATTGAAATTAAACATAATCAGGATGAAATTTACTTTGGACTCAGATTAAAACTTTAAAGTTTAAGAATATGGGAGTCTATCAAGGAGCATTATTTTTCTAATTACTTGTTAGATACTAATGCTATGGAGCATGCAACTAAGGTGAACTGTATTCCACAGATACATCCTGCATTTTGACGTCACTTTTATTTACAGACTGACAGAACTGTTCTAAATGTGGGTAACCCACCTTGCCACTAAACAGGACAAAAGTATGTCCACTAACTCAGTTCATCAAAAAGGATTTCTGCCATGAATTTGGTGACCTATACTATTTCTAACAAATTTGAAATTTGTGACTGTTTGAATTTTGTACTTTTATGATATCATCTTGTAAATAAATTAGTTATTAGGAAGTAGGGAAAGGATAATTATTAAACTTGAGAGAGTGAGTTCTTTTCTAAGCACTTTAGAAGTTCTCTTTTACATCCAGATAATTATCTTAGGCTATAATTTATTGACTGAATCCTGTTCACCTTATTTACAGAAAGAAAGCTATATTTGTAAAACAAAACAAAACAAAACTTAAACAGTTCAAGTTACTTAAATAATCTCCCTCTTTTGTTTTCTAAATTAATGTATTTTATTTATATTTTCTGTTTCTGTAATTGAACTTTAAAATCTTGCTTTGCCTTGCATAAAATTCAAAAGAATCATAAAAGCTTTGATGGTCTTAGAGTCAGAAGAAGAAAAACTTGTGGTTTCCCCAGGTAATAAGTTTGATAACAAGTTTAAAATTATGAGATAGAGGAGGAAAAGAATTAAAGAGAAAGACAAGAAGACCAAACTGAAGCATGTGTGACAGCTGGGAGGCATTTCCAGAATACAACAGACAAAAGCAGCTGAGAGGATACTTGAGTAAGTGCATAATATTTTAAATTCCAGGAGCCACGATGGAGTATGTCATTGTGTCACCGTTTTAAATAATACTTAGGCTAACAGAATTTAGAATAATAAATACTTGCAAAGGAATAAAAGAATAATGGTATAATTTTCGAAACTAGAATGACCTTGAAGCATATTTATAAGATCATATACTATGAAATGATGTTCACATTTCTATATTGTACAAAATATAAATAGTTAAAGGGAACATTTTCTCTACTGCACCTTCAAAAGCACAACTGCTTATTCCTTTATAGTTCAAAGTAGTTACTTGAAGAGGAAATTTCCTTAGCTTGCAATTTTTTGGCTATTGCATTAAACTAACGTCCATTGTACCTTGTGTCTGCTTTATGTGTATCTTAACTCCTCTCTCCTTTTGTAAAAGAGGAGACTCAATTATTACTATATACATTCTCCTGAATCCAAGGGAGCACCATACTTCAACAACATGTTCCATGGACTTAGCAAACAAATAAAACAGCTATACATTATTCAATACATCTTGGCAGCACACTAAAGCTCTTACAGCAAGTGATAAATGATCAAATGTCTTCCTCAAATCTTACCTGGTTTACTTTTTTTAAAAATCCAACCCTTGCTGTCTACCATGCAAAACTCTTGGCCACTGGGTGAAATCCAAACTGGGTAGTTGATCATGATAATTCCCACGTGTCATGGGCAGCAGCATCTCTCAGAGTCCCACAAGCCAACTGCTTGAAATGAACCTGCAACAAACAAGGCATTTCTTCATTTTAATAGAAAAATAGTGAACCATGTCCGAGGTCCAGGAGGCATCACTACATAATCAATAAGGGAATCATAAAGGAGTATGTGAGGGGCTATAAATGCCTCTCAAGATGCTGATAAACATTAAAGCCAGAAGACTGAAATTTATGTGCTACAGAAGGTGTTTCAGCAGAGTGCTTGCTCCTCTTAACATTATTGATCTGTTTAACCTGTCAGTGCAAATAAACATACTGATATTGAAACTCACATATCCTATAGTGTGTACCCCTTCTCCTTCATATAGGTGATCACTTGGAATAATCAGAGTATTTTTCTGATTCTATCCATAATACTCTCAAGGTAACTGGAAATGAGGTTCAGTAAGTAGGGCAAAACTTAATAGCAGCTAGAGGAAAATCCACATGATGGTCTAGATCAAGGACAATTTCCTTTGTGAGTTCAGATGCTCCAGCCAATGTCAACATTCCCCATTAAAAAAAAAATTGTATCACGTCTGCAGGACAGTGTGTGAGGAACTCAGATCCCCCCCCCCATTGTGTGGGGGGATATGTACGAAGTGATGCAAATTCACAAGCCACTATTTGCCATGTCAAGATACAGACTATACAATAGTAACCAACAGGAACAGAGAGTAGCCAGAGTCTATAAACAAGGAACGACGAGAGCCTAGGAAATGAATTAAATAACTAACTTGGGGACAATCTACCACTTCTTTAATGCTTCAACTATTTGTGTCCACAGCAGTAAATGTGGTATTTAAACTTTATAAGCATGTCTGACTTCCATTTAAGGAGAAAAAGGATCCATGCACAATCAGCAACTTCTATTGCACTGAGAGCTGCCACACAGGTTTTCAACAGACATTTAGGAAGATATTAATGAACAGATTTGCTTATTGGTGTTCTCAGCGTAGCCTTTAAAAACTATTAGTGTTTTTTTAAGCTACAGCAACCATATTTATTTAAGCATATACAAAAACAATTATTATTATTATTATTATTATT